ATGTTGAAAATACGACAATGATGGGGTCAGAATTCCAATATAGGAGCAATTATTTATAAACAATGGCGCATTAATGTTAATGTACACATCGGACGATGACGATGATATAACAAGCTTTCTATGACGAAACTAATTGCGAGCGGAGGCATTCAGCATCTACTAAATGCGATAATTAAACCATCCACTACATTTACTGATTAAACATAATGGAATATCCATCCAAATTTGTTGCCTTCCGTGATAACAATGTAGATACATGAAAAGATTGCATTCAAATTAATCTCTTAGCTAACGAAATTCGCCCATAATAAGAACCATTGTAGAAAAGAGAGAAAGAGAGAAGCAGAGTGCTATTATAACCGTTTACAATACAAGAATCAATTATTAATGACGATAAATCTTTTGTTACATATATTGGAACTTGGAAAATTAACGCTTAAGAGAACAACTCACAAACGATTCAATTTCCATTAATCTTTCATTTTCCCAAGCATCTTCATCTTCCTTTTTTTCCTCCCTCCCTTCCTTTTCTTCGAGACTACTCCTGCTCTCCCCTTGCATCCGAAGCACTCTCGCCGTAAAGTCTTTATCGGAATCGAGTTAATTACGTATCGATAGCCAGCCAGCATTCACCGGACAATTTTATCCGGGCTAATAAGAGGCAGAAGCGAGGCGAAGAAGGAAAGAAGAAATTATATCGGAGATAGCGAGTACGAATGAAAAAAAGAAGAAAAAGAAAAAATATCTGAAAGCAACGAAATCATCCCGGATAAACTTTTAATAGATCCCTAGGTTAATCTTTTTTCCTTTTTTTTTTTTCAATAAAATTCCATTCGCCGGCCAGACACAGAGGGGAGGGGGAGGAAGAAACGGCGTTTCCCGATCCGTGGAAATAACTTCGTGCTTTCAATGAAGTCGAATCGCGCCATTCAACCCGGTCCGCTTCCTGATTGACGACTCGCGCCGAGGTAATCGCTCAATCGGCGAGCACAGACAGGTGAGGCGGGCAGGCAGCAGCTATCTTCTTTCCCTTTGAATCGAAGCCATCTGCACGCAGCTTGCCCGCCCCTCTGCCCTCCTCCCCCACGGACAGCCTGCTCGCGTGTCTCGTCACTCACGGCTACGGCATCCCGGTGGTGCTGTCGAATCAATTTCATACCCGATCGAAAGTCAATCTTCGAAATGAACGTCGAAAGGTCAATATTGAAACGAGTCGCTTCGAAATTTATCGAGACGGTGCACAGAGGACGCTTGTTGGAACGCTTGAGGAGGGGGTAATATTTCGAAGAACGCCTACTACTGCAGACAGCCGTTCCTTCGTGCGTGCATCGAATTACACGATAAAAATATTTTTCTGTCGTTTGTGAATTTTGTGAATTGTTGTTGTTGTTGTTGTTGAATTTTCGTATTTTTCGTATCGATGGGTTCGGGTTGAAGAGCGCGTTTTGAAGAATGGCACAATGCTCTCGCACGAAGAATACGTTTTTGATTGCATACAAGATGCAACTTGTGGAATTCGCGGGATCAAGTGATTTCAATTCTTGTAAAAATTTTCTAAGAAATTGCTCGAGATGATTGCTGGTTTTTTCGAATATTTAAACTGCATTAAGATATTTTCACATTCTCGTGCGAAAATTGAACGTTTATCGGCTAGCAGTTGCTCTATACAAAATACGTGTAGCTTAGAATTTCATTTCATCAAAGAATATTAATTATAAAATTTGTAAGAATAATAGCATAAAGAATGTTTAAAATTAGAAATACTATGGCAATTATTAATTTATTCCGATAAAATAAAAATAAACATCGAGAAACGAACAGTTTCGTCTTTTAAAAAAAGAGAAGAAGAGAAAAGTGCACATTCTTTCTAATGTTTCTCCAGAAAAAAAGATCAAAGCGGGCAACAAAATTAACAACCTAATCTTCCTAAAATTTTACAAAAAAAAATCTCATTTTAATAAACATACTCATCCAAACCGATCTCATCTAAAAACTTCAACTTAAATAAACGAACGTAAAAATTCCCTTCGTAGTGGTGCGAAAACCCCGTTTCGAATTTGTCTCCGCGTTCGAGGGAGGAAACGTGTTGCTCTCGGCCGAAGGCGGCGGCGAAAACAAGGGGCAAAAAAGGTGGGAAAGGCCACCTTTACGGTATGTTCTCCAAGACAGGAATGGAACGTGAGGGAGGAAGAAGTGGAGGGAAACTGGATGGTTGCTCGACGACGAAAGAACGGCGCGACAGGATTGCATTGGATCGTGAGGGACGGACCGTGAAGGGGTTGGAGTAGAACGAAATACAAGAGGGTGGGAGAGGCGAACGATATCCATTCTCATTCCTCCGTGGGGAGTGGATGGAACGAACCGCAGAGAAGATGCGAATACCGATGGTACACCGTTGCCGCCACGATGCTGGAGAGAGAGCGTGTTAGGTTGCAACTCGTGCAGCTTACGTTCGCGCCTGTGTACGCCTGTTTCGCGCCCGTTGTTGTACCAACGCGCTGCTACGCGGCCGTGTAGATTTATACCCGTTTTATTGCC